GGATTGTAAGCACAAGCATAGAGACTAAGATTTACAACACATATTTCTAGGGGACACCATTCAATCCATAACAATACTTTTGGTTGGCTTTAAGATAGAATATTGGGCTTCTCTACCTATGAATTTGACTTGGATGTAATTCTGAATATTCCTATGAACTAAGTTTTGTTTTTACTCATATATATCCTTCTTTGTCCTGAATTTCTCTGGATATTTCTTCTAAAAACTTTATTTGGAGAACTTTACTAATGTAAGGCATTACATGGTACATACTAGAAGAGTAGAAACCATCTGCACAGAGAAAAGCACAAATTTCTCAAGGACAGATTAGGCAGTGAAGAATTCAAAATTATGTAAGAAGTGAGCTATAACTTTGACTGGAAAGATCCAGGTTCTAAACCATGTTCTATCGGATGCTAACATTCAAAATTTAGAACCAAAAGTTATGTGACCTCAGTGATCAGTACCTAGAGTCTGAAGCCACATTGCCCAGATTCTAACCTCACCCCACTGTCCATCAGAGGTGTGACATTTAACAAGTTCCTTGATATCTCTGTGCTTTGTTTTCTTCACTGTGAAACAGAAACAATAAGATAATATATCCTTTCAGGTTGCTATGAAGATTACATAATTTAATGTATAATTAAATTATTAGATGCAAGTACCTACTACCTATAATAAGAGTGGTTATTTTCATTATGATGATCACTACTGGATTTCCAAGAGATATTGTTAATTTTTCAATAATATCAATTCAAAATTTTTTTCTACCCATAATAAAACTATACCATTGTATTAAAATATTAAGCTCCTTTACTGAGTGGCTGAAATCATATCAGCACTGAGGATGGCAATAGTTTTCTTATAATGATCAGAAGCTAGGATTGAGAGTTCTAAATATCTTTAATAAATAAAAAAGAGAAAAATGAATCAAAAGTATGTAACAGCATCAATACAAGGGACCCATGACAAGAGGAAAGTAGAAATAAAATAGGTTTTAGGTTGTAAATGTTTGGCATAAAAAGCAAAGGAATGAGGGCATTTAGATG